AGACACAGACTGACAGGCACACAACTGGCCCAGACCACAGACAAACAACACCCAAACCACACAAAAACACATACTCAAGAGGTCAGACACATACTAAACATACATAAAAGACACAGAGACACAAAAAACCCTCAGATACAAAGGCACACACATTAATTACCTACAATTACCAAGGCACAAAGAGTTGCTTACAAACACACACACTGGACACCAACACACAAACTCACATCACAAATGACACACAAGGACCTAAAGAGATACAAACTACATAGAAAGGTACACCTGAATTACACACAGATCATCCACAGAGGTCCCTACACCAAAACTCAAGTGAAACCCACAGTGTACAGGCCCAGCAGTTGTGATGGTGGAGGTGTGGAGGGGGGTGACACCATATTGTTACCTAGACTAGGAGAGAGCTGGGCCCAGGGGTCCTTATTTGGGGAGCCCCTAGTTGCTCTGGGGGATGTCGGAAGAGAATGAGCTCCTGGTCAGACCCAGCTGCTGAGAGCTGGCCCTTCTGAGCCCATCTCTCTGCCCACCCCCAAGCTTGGCTGCATGCTGCCACCCCCCAGCCCAGCCCGTACCGTGCTGAAGTTGGGGAAGAGACTGAGCGGGGTTGCGCCATTGAAGTGGAAGGCGAGCAAGTGCTTGAAGTCCAGCGGGGGCTGCAGAGGCCGGGCGGGCAGGGGCAGGGAGGCCAGCAGGTGGCTGGGGGTGCTGGAGGCCGGGCCTGCAGCAGGAGGAGGAAGGGCAGGGTCTGAAATGGGGAGTCACAGGGCTCGCTCCTACCTCCACAGCCAGAAGAAGAGGCTGATGGGCTTCTTGGGTGTGCAGCCAAGGCAGAAACTCCTGTCCCTCTTCACAAAGTAGCACCAGCCAGACTTCCAGTTAAGATAGTGGAATAGTCGGTCCCCAGCGTCACTCTCTCCCACAAATCAACCAATTTACAGCAATAAAAAAGCAACAACAGCCAAGCCGGGGCCAATAAAGCTCAGTGGAAGAGGAGGAGAGACCTACAGAGTGCATGAAGGCAGGAGAAGCCACAATGATGGAAAGAAAGAACCTCTCCAACCATTTCTAATCCTGGCCTCTTCCAGGCTGGAGCCACTGAGCACACGGAGCAGGAGCCGGCAAAAGCTGCAGCTGTGTCCTTTGGATGAAGTTGCTTGGAGGTGGAGGGGAGAAGAGGGCCTTGGTGGCCCCCAGGCCAGCAACACCACTAATAGGGTTCCCCGTGGACCCATTTAGGAGGGAGGAGCCACAACAACTGAAAAAAGGAGCCACTCAGAGGCCAGTGAGTCATTGCAAGGGACCAGAACATGGCCCATCCCATGGGAAGTGTTTGGAGCATGGGCTGTGGGGGTGACGGGCCCACCAGGGAACACTGGGGCACAGCAAGGATGGCTGACCTGCCCCCCAGTCAGCACAGGACCACTCAGAGGAGACTGGTCAGGAATATAGAACTGCAGGGGGTGCAGTTTGCCAAAAAGATTCAGGCCCAGACCAGAGTTTCTACACAACCCAGGTGCACCAGATCTCACTAGACCCGGAAGTACCTACAAAGTCAACCATTACAACCTGAGCTGCACAAAAAGCCTTCCCCAGGGAATCAGCAGCAAAGCAGCAGTTTAGCTCAACCACAGGGCTCAAGTGCTGGTCCCCACAGGAAGTTCCCCCATTTTAGAAGTAAGCAAAGGACAACAAATTAGTTCCAGTGTAGAATTAAAGTGGTGGGAACAGCAAATAATCCAACACAGAACTGGAAGAAAAAACAAAGTACCCACAACCAGAGACAAAGTTTGATATTAACTAATAAAGGTCTCATTTCACCAAAGAACACCTATAACACCTAGAAGGACAGGGGGTCCCCTGGGCTACCAGGCCAGAAATGG